TTTCAAAGATTTAGGGATTATATGTAAACCACTTTATAATAAATTAAAAGATAATCCTGAACCATGGACTAAAAAACATACAGATATAATTAAATATATAAAACAAAAGGTTCCTACTTTGCCATGTTTAAATTTACCTCATCCCAATGCCAATATCATAGTTGAAACCGATGCTAGTGATATTGGATTCGGAGGAATTCTGAAACAAAAATCTGTTAACTCAAAAGAGGAACAATTGGTTCGATATTACTCTGGTGCATGGAATGATACACAAAAAATTATTCAACTGTCAAAAAGGAAATTTTAAGCATTGTTTTATGTATTAAAAAATTTGAAGATGATTTATTTATGAAAAGTTTTTTATTAAGAATAGATTGTCAATCTGCAAAAACTATTTTAGAAAAAGATGTGAAAAATATTATTTCTAAGCAAATTTTTGCTCGATGGCAAGCCCTCTTAGGTAACTTTGATTTCGAAATAGAATTTATTAAAGGAGAAAATAATTCGCTTCCTGACTTTCTTTCTCGAGAATTTTTGCAGGGAAAATGAGTTCGTCGTCCTTTTCCAAACATGATGACAAGAAGCCCGTCTCTCAAAAGCTTGTTCCATTTCAAAATCAAAATCGTTTTTCTCCTTTAACTCCTACTTCTAAGAATTCACAACTTTATTCTAATATCCTTCAGTCAAAACTTGTTACTACAAAAGTTACTTCAACAAACACGATAAGCCCTTTTGTAAAACCTATCACTCCTCAAACTCAAAATTCTGTGACTCCTAGCCCTTTTACAAAAACTCCTTATGTTCTTAATCCAAATTTCTTAAGAGTTCAAATTCTTGAAGATTTTCAAATCCATAAGTTACATCAAGGTTTTCATATTCTCACAAATCATCTCTTTGGTCAAGGGAAAACCTTTTATGTTGATTTCATATAAAACTCGAGAATATTATCAAGCTATTTTGCAAGAATCTGGTTCGGTCAATTTTGTTCATCGTTCTAATTCAAAAGAGGGAAACATTGATTTTAGCAAAGTTCATATCATCAAAATCATTTCTCCAGAAAGTTGGGTTCCAAACCTTCATTCTGAAAAACCTCTTATAAGTTATCCTGCTTATCCCATATTTTCTTACTATGATTATCAAGATGCCTGGACTAAGGCGTTCTTTATTCGGAATTATTCACACTCATGGTTTATCTTCTTTGATTTGAACTTCAATTGTGAATACCCAAGATGGTTTATCAATTGGTACAAATATATGGGAATTCTTCCAAATTGTTTACCAAAAGAAATTTACGATGGATATCTCAAATTTAAGGAATTGTTTATTCATCAAATTCCAGAATTTGAATATATGCTACAATTCACTATGATATTCAAAGTTCCATGGATAATGTCTTGGACTTTTCATTATCAAGAAGCAAAGGATTTCTCTCCTCCCTGGCTTAATCGACAATTTCGCTCAAAATGGTGGGATAAAATGAAGATTTCTCAAGCCAGTGAACAAACAGTAATTAAACATTATCAAGAAATATATATTCAAAAACCAGAGGTTGAAGCCACTTTTATCAAAAGTCTTCCTCAAAATGATGTGGATCTAATTGCAAGAATTAAAGATGCTGCTACCTCTTCTCCTGAAGAACTTCAAAGCTTACTTCAAGAAATTCGCCAAACTCCATCAGTTTCTGACGATTCTCCAAAATCTATAAAGAATGGTTTATTTCAAGACGCTCAAGACCCTTTTGATGATCCTTATGAAGAATAAGAAATTCTTATCATTAAATTTGGTGTAATACCTTCAATGTAGGGTATTTCGTTTCTTCTATTTATCAAAATTATTATTTTCAAATACGAGTGTGTATAAACTGTGTGAGTATACACTATATATGTATTTATAGTGTATAAACAAATATTATCAAATTTATTATCAAAATTTATTTATTCTTATCATCAATGATAATATTAAGACAAAAAACTTTAGAAGATGCTCTATGATGGATAATATGAAGACAAAAAACTTTAGAAGATGCTCTATGATGACATGCTTTATCAAAAGGTGATATTTATTGATTACAAACGACAATTTATTCAAAAGATGAGTGACAACCACTTACAAGTAATTGATTGGCCATTGAATCATACGGCAAATTTCACTACAAGATTTCAAGGCTTTGAAGACTTCAAGATCAATATAAATAGACATCATATGTCAGTAGAAGGAGGCAAGCAAAAAATATTCATTCTCTAAAAAATGTTCATCTCATGTCTAAAAAATCTCCAAGAGTCTCTCTTTCTACTAGTAGATGTTCAAAGTCTCTAGATTTTCAGATAATTCTTTCTCCAGATGTATGTATTGATTGTAATTCAAGCTTAATTCAAGAAGGTACTATCTAAAATATTTTATTCAATTGTTGTATTGTTGTTATTAAATTTATTTCTCCATGATAGTTTCATTTCGAGTTATTCTAACTATTAATTCTACAAGATTTGAAATTTTTGTTAAAATAGTACTCGTTTTTAATAATCAAATTAATCAAATTCATGCTTGAATTATTTAATTATGTCTAACAAAATCTTGATGAATTGTATTCCTAATAGAGATATTCTTTTAAGAATACAACAAATCCAAGAATCTATAAATAATTCTGAGCAAAATCTCAAGGATTCTTACAAACCTACTAATCTAGGTACGATTTTAAACAATAATCATATTCATGATGCTAGATGGCTCATAAGAGCTACTATTAAAATTCGATACAAACAAATACGTTATCTAAAAACAAAACTATTTGTTTTCTAAAAATGATATTTATGTCATAGTTTATGTCACAGTTAACAAGAATGGTATCTGTTGTCTTTGACCGTCTCACAAACTAGTGTTATATTAAGTCAATTAACTATGTGACCAGTGGCTTGAAATACTTCTTATAAAAGCACACTAATTAATGTAAATATATAATAAATATAGCTTGTGATTTTTGGTAAGTTTTCACAAGACAACATAATGTGCATTTTTTCTCCTCCTTCACCCTAGCCACAAAATTTTGGCATCTCTTTAGTGTTGTTGATCATCAACTAGGCCAAGGAAGCAGGGCCGGTCCTGACGGTGGGCAACCCGGGCGACCGCCCAGGGCCCACGACTCTTAGGGGCCCAAAATTTCTGAAATATATAATATATATACATATATAAAAAATAAATTTTATGTATATGTCTTCTAAGGGCTCGATTACCAAATTAACCTAACTTTAGCCCAATGAAATAACCTCTTTTTATCTAGACTCTGGAATGCGTTTTGAAGTAACGCTAAGCAAACACTGCCGTTTAGGGTGTCTTTCAGGAATCTACATCAGGTGGGAACCAATTAATCAAATCGACACCTCGTGAATCCTAATCGCTGCCTCGTGAATCCTAATCAAAATAATGATTCATAATCAGTTATGTCGCACGACTTCTTCCCTTCTCGTAGTCTCTTACCAGACTTCAGATTATAATCAGTTATGTCGATTGAATGCAAATTTGCAAAGGACCCGACGAATGAGATAAAAACCATAAGGTTAGCTATAGATTTTTTTTGTTTTGTATTTTTTTTCCTCTAATTCTTTTGTTTTTCAACTATTATTAGTTTCTGATTTGATTTCTTATTCATGTTTCTTATATTTTTTTATTATTTATTTTCTGATTTTGTTTGTGCATCTGTGTCTCAGATTGCTGGAGACTGGACTGTCAATTCTTTCTAGCTTTTACATACGTTTCATATTTTTTACTTAACAAGGTAATTTTTTTGTAGATATCTGATTCAAAACTCAAAAATTTAAATCCAATTCTAATTTTTCTGATGTTTTAGTGTTGTTTCTGATTTTATTTTGTATTCACGTTCCTAGTCCTGGTATCTAATCAAATGTTGAAAGCTTATATTTTTTTTTCTGGTTTTGGATGTTCTCAGATTTCTCGAGACTTGACTTTATATCTTCTACCTACGTTTTAGATTTTTTACTTAAGAAGGTAATATTTTTTGTTGATATATGATTCAGAATTAAAAACTTTAAATCCAGTTCTAATTTTCAGATGTTTGATTGTTTGTTTTTTATTTTAATTTGCAGTTGCACCTTGATTTAAATTGAATATGATATTAGGCTTCTACAACTTTGAGACATAAATCATATACCAAAAATCAGATGTAATCTTTTCCCATAAGTAGATAGTGTTTAACTATTGACAATCTACAATGTTTTCCAAAAAACATTTATCTGGAAGCCAAAAAAGGAAGAAACGAAATTTTTTTTGATGCCTTCAATCAAACTTATAAAGGGTCCATGCATAATTTTTCAAACCATTAAGTTCGTCTAGTTTGATTGAAGAAAAACTAATTTGAATTAAAATAATACTAATTTCTCTTTTAGGTAATGTTGTGGTCATATTTATGTTTCTAATATTAATATTGATTTTTGTGGATTTTGTAACGATGTGCTTATTTTTAAATTAAATTTTATTTATCTATTATTCTAGGGGCCCATTTTTTCTTTTCGCCTTGGGCCCGCAAGACCTTTGGACCGGCCCTGCAAGGAAGAAAAAGAATATGGCTTGTTTTGATAGTTAGTGTCTAGCAACATTTCAAATATGTTAGTATGTATACCGATAACGACAATCAACCATGATTGTCATCTCCTGCATCGACGGTTGTTTACAATTTCATGATATGATCCAAAATTTTATATGGTTTTTTAGTTATCAACCTCAATTGTCATCTCCTGCTTAAAGTTTTCTCATAAATCGTTGCTAATATTCTTATGAGTAAATTTTTTGTTAAGACCAAATCTGTTGCAAAGGCTTAGCGACAGATTTGCCGTTAGAGTTATTTTCTGGTTGTGTACTTGAAGGCTAACATTTGCGCGTACAACAAAAGACTTATATAGCTAGACTCGTATTTGAGTTATCCGACTAACGTTCAAATATTTTTTAAAATTATATACCAAAAGTATTCAAAAGAGATAATTTTCTTTTAAGTCTCATATATAACACAAATCACTTGAAAATTTATTGTATATGGCTTGAACAAACCATTTAGTTGCTCAAGAAACAAATATATCCTCTAAATACCCAAATCATACTAATTTCCCCTCTCCCTTTCTCAACATTTTGGAAGATCTTTTGGAGGTGGCAAAAGTGACTCTTTTGGTCCTTGACCATTGTCCACCAAAAATGCCATTTTTAGTCCCCACGTCGTATGAACTTCTAAATGGCAATGCATAAACCAAACACCTACAATTAATTCAAATGCAAAATGTCATAAAAGCAACGATTAATTACATATAAAATAATGGCAAAATGCAATATTGTTTCATTCTCAACAAAGAAGATTAATTTACCTGGATTATCCGCTCGGAATCGGATAGCTACCCATCCACCAGAAGGCACACCAATGGTATTCCTCTCAACCGGGTCGACCAGGTTAAACTTATTCGGGTCCACTTTCGGGTTATAATTGCCTAATCCCTTACCCACAGCAAAGAAATTAAACCCATGTAAATGAACCGGGTGGTTTTCTGCAGCAATAATACCCGTATCCTGTAATACCAATTCAACTGTTGAGTTGTACTTTAGCCTATAAAGCTTAGTCCCACTACTGGTAGCCAAATTTGCCGGTGGAGCTCCGGTATAGTTGAAAGAAACCGGCGGGTTACCCGGAAAGTCAGTAGTGAAGACCCCATTCTTATTAAAGTAATGTGCTTGAAGAAGAGCAGTGGTAGGCATAACAAACGTAACATTGTTAATACTCGCAACGACCCGACTGCCATTACCCGCTTTGCAAGTCGGGCACGGGTTGATACCAAGTCCCACGGTGAAATACAAGGAGTGATCGATTTTCAGAGGCACCTTCGCCGGATACTTTTTTGAGTTCAAGCTCCGGAGGGAGTCTACGAAGTTGTTGGCAGTGGCGGTGGCGTTTGGAGGAGGTGGGATGGCTAGGGTAGTGGATGTGGTGCTGAGGGTACCGGTGTAAAGGAGAGTGGCGACGGCGGTTTTGTTGTCGACAGCTATAGGTGAGTCCATGAACGGCGAGGCTGCCATCATGAACTTACCGGCGCTTTTGCTTGCTGTGACGATGACATTGGTGGTTTGGCCTGGTGCTATGACGATTGTGTCGGTTTGGAAGGGTTTTACGTAGGTGGCGTCGACTTCCACCACCGTGAGCTTATGGCCGGCGATCTTGAAGAAGAGTTCTTCATTGAGTGCAGCATTGATTATACGTAGCATGTACGATTTCCCATTTTCGACGCTTATTTGAAACCCTCCTGCATGGATATATAACACAAATTTTCGCATTGGATAAACCTAATAATTAAAAAGATTATTTCATAATTAAGTATCTATCTATATTCTATATATACCTTGTGTACAACCAGATATAGGTCCAGGATGGCCATTTATGGTATGTGCATCTGATATGTTTGGGGCCAAACCAGATTTTAATGCTTCATTGATCACAGCTTCAGTGTCTGACTTCCACCATTCTCCTGCAATAAAAACATCGATCATAGTTTTTTCATTTGAAAAAGATCATTCACCATTGACAAAAAAAAGTTGGACCTTTTTCCTTAGCACCTTTTTTTAACTTTTTTATCGCTTGGTTTTTCATTTTTTTGGACTTTTTATTTTATATGTTTAGGAAAAAGGACACCAGTACGTACTAGATCACTAACCTAAGATGACGACCTGTTCAACATCAGGTTTGGGGAAAGGATAAGGAACTCCAAGTTTAGGTAGAATAACAATGGCGCCATGAACAGTTGCCCTAAGCCATAGAATATGTGCATGCCAGAAAAGTGTGCCCCTTTGCCCGGTTATTGTGAAGTTATATACATAGTTCTGCCCGGGCTGGATCGGGCATTGTGTTATATATGCTGGCCCATCTGCCCATCCTGTTCGCAGTTGTCGTATGCCATGCCTGCAAACATATATAGACATTTTTAATTATTTGAAGAAGATGAAGTAATTAAGCGATTTTACTATAAATGAATATGTCAAAAAAACTGTATACCAGTGGATTGAAACATTGTATTTCACATGGTTGACAACCCTTACGAGAACTGTGTCACCTTCTCTAGCATAGAGCGTTGGTCCTGGGAACTGCCCGTTAACTGTTACTATTGGCTTCGTTGAGCATAATCGACTCGCTTTTTTCACTACAACCTGCATTATATCATAAGAAGCGATATAAATGAGCTAAATGACACCCTTTTCTCCATGCATGGTTTAGTACTACACTTTCTAAACGTAAAATATCGGAATTGAAAGAGTAAGTAAACTATGGTTAATACAATAGAAAGTGTATACACTGACATTGAAATTGTAGTGACGAACACGACCCTCTATCAACAACGGGAATATGAAACCAATCACCACTAAAGCTCGAACCCAATGCTCCATTGATGTTTGTTTTTGATCGAGCTGAGATATGATTGAGTGAATAGATGATCGAGGTACTGATGAAAGATAGGACTGGCCAACGCAAGCTTATATACAAGTCATATATGAGTTGATGGACCGCTGCAATGTCATTTTTCTTTGGTTAGGTGTATAAGTGTATGAGCCACTGGTTTATCTGATAGAGAGAAGATGCTTGTGTTCTTTCTTAAATCGAAAGCAAAAGGCTACGTTAGAGTAAGTTTTAAATGTTTGTTATAACCATTTCTTACGATTCACACAAAGACAAAGTGTTTAATGTGTTTCCAGGAATAAAATATGTTTTGATTAAAATGATTAACTATTGGTTAGTTACTTGAAATATATAAAATAAAAATATCGTTAACAAAATCGAAAGCAGAAAAGTGGTCAATATTATAAAAAATAACTTAAAATAACAGTACTACCAATATTATAACATAGAATTTAAAAACATATTTTGGTAATTTGGGGAAATGAAAAAAATTATAAATAATTATATCTTACCTACTTGAAATACATAACGGTCGTTGTCTTGTAATAACATTGATTTAATACGGAAAAGATCACCAATAAAATATATTGTCCCTACTTATTGCCCTATCTTTTTAATAAATATTTTATAGAAATTAAACCTTAGTTCAATAAATCTCAAACATCCAATGTAGCAAAAAGGTTTCCCAATTAATTAGAAAGATATTATTGATGTGGAAATTTCTTTATATTAAAAATGGCCTTCATATCTTCTCCTACATGCCAATCCCGTTAATTCTTATCTCCATCATATTTACATTCGTACACTATCATCTCTTTTAGAAAAAAAAAATGATGACAAAAAAGTTGAATTTAAAAATAACAGCCTATAAATAAATTTCACCTCTTAATTATTTTGAAAAGTAATTAATCAAAATGACAATAGGTAACATATATATTATATAACTGAAAAATTAGGTGTGCTAATTAGGATTGCTTATTTAACTCAATAACTAAGTACTTTTTGATAAAATTGTTAATAAAAATTACTTTCTAAAAAAAATGTTTAAACTTTTGTGTCAAGAATCTATAATTTAATAAGTCATTCTTTTAAAGTATTCGAATTATCTTATATATTTTTTATACTTATATATTTTAGATAAATACATACAAACTAAAAACAATTTTAAATAGTAAGGTACATATGACTTTTCAAAAACTCTTTTTGATGGGTTTGAAAAACTATTTGTAAAAGCACTTATCTATTTGTAAAAGATGTTTTTAGACCTATTAAATTTTTAAAAAAAATTAATAAATCAATAAGCCATTTTCATAAGTAATTCAATTTCATTGGATTTTTTTTAATAACTGAAAAATTAGTTGTGCTTATGATTGTTTTTCTTTGAACGGCAATAGATTTATTAAACCTCTAGCAAAGAGCTAGAGAACAAAGAAAAAACTTACAAAGTCATGCTTAGGGATAACAGCCAACAATCCTAAGAAATAATATTTTTCCTACGTCTATTAGAAACCAAAAAGTAAGAAAATGCCTAATATCATCAAAAATCTCATCTCTTCTAGGTTTTATCGTTCCAAAAAGTAGATTATTACGAAATCTCCAAATGATCCAAAACGAGACAGCAATAACTGCTTCAAAAACCTGTGAAAACTCCTTAGTCATCTTTAGTGAATCAACCCAATGCAAGATCTCATTAACCGTGCCATGTGAAGGAGCAGGGATATTCCACCACCTAGCTATCAAGTTCCATGAAGGGGTGAAAACATTGCAATTCGAGAAAAGATGACCAGCAAACTCTCCAATTTGAGAGCAAACAGGACATAAAAAAAGACTCTAATTCAATGTCTTTATCACGTAAATTCAATCTAGTGGGAAGCTTATCTCTTTCAACCCGCCAAACATGAACATTAATCTTCTTAGGAACATAAGTATTCCATCTAGTAGGAATGTTAGAAGACTCTAAGTGTGTGCATCAATAAAATGTATGGTCGAAGCAACTGGGAATTCTTCCTTAATATCAATATCCCACGAGTATAAATCATTCGAATCGGATAAAACCACCTCCTATATTATTCACACATCTCATCCAATTGAGCACCCGTAACACCATTATGAGGATATCTAGGAAACACGTCCAATATCCTCGTTTCTGAGGATCGATCAAATAAAGACGCCTCCAAATTTGTATCCAGAACAAAAAGTCTATGAAATTTGTTCTTAAAAATACTCGATCCATGCCAATTATCCAACCAAAACCGAATACTTCTTCCATTTCCCACCTTTCTAGTACACAAATCCTCCAAAAAAAATACCTTTCTTTTTAAGATGATCAATCCCCATAAGAAGCCACATGACCTCCTGGGGAAGAGTGAAGAGTCGAGACCATTGTAACATCATGTTTCCTATCATTTCTAAGCCATGGACCAGAAGTTGATTGTGTAAGGTTTTGGGCCTTAAGGAGGCAAAGTTTAGTCGTTGTGGAAGGAGATAATGATAGTTAAGAGATTTTTTACCCTTGAATTGTGTTCTGGGCCGAAGGATAGGAAGGGAAAACACATAGGCCGGGTCCTTGCATGAAATATGGACTTTTGTTCGAGAAGTTTTTAGTCCAAGATATTTAGGTGATATTGTAGAGTTATTCTACACCTTTCCGTAGATATAAAGAACGTCGAAAAAAGAGTTGGAATGAAGAAGTTACGATAGGACGAAGTTAGGGTGATTTTTAGGTTAGCCGTGTACACTAGGTGTACTAGGGGATCCCTAGTACGCTGGGCGTACTAGGAGTACTCTAGGCATACGCGATCAGTGCTCAAACCCTATTTTCATGGTTTGAGCCCTATTTAAGCTCCTTAACTTTCCCAAACTTATTCCATTCTCAGCCTCCACCTCTCCAACACCCTTTCTTGAAACCCTAACCCTAGATTGAGCCTTGTTAGCAAAAAAAAGGTGCTTTAATTGCTTTGGAGTGTTCTTGGTGCACCTTGAAGAAGAAGGAACTCATTGAAGAAGTGTTGGTTGCATTGGAGCTTGTAGATCCGCACTTTGTTCACCTTGATCTTTCTCCTAGAGGAATAAAGTTTGAATCTTGATGATGAAATTGTTAGATCTAGCTAGTTTTCAGTGTTATAAGCTTTTGGTCACATTAAGTGCATAAAGTTTAGATCTTGAAGGTTTGTGACCTTGTTATGGATAAAGTTGGAAACTTTATCCATATAAACTTCATTTTGATTCAGATATGAAGGTTAGAGACTTAGACTTAATGGATTAAGTCGAAAAAGATGCACTTTTTGGTCCCTTTGAGACTTAAAGACTAGATCTTGTTTGTTGGGACCATTCTAATGGATAAAGTTGGAAACTTTATCAATTATGGAGCTATTATGAACCATAAAATTATGATCTTGGCCCTTCTATCCCTTCCATATAAGAGTTGTGATGTCATATTGGGTTAAGAACTTAGGGTTTTGGACATTAAGCACTTTATATCCATGTAAAGTCATAAAGTTGGAAACTTTATGACTTGGGACATCATTTTGAGCTTGGATATGAGTTTTGGACGTAAGGGCTTAATGGAATAAGCTCTTAATGGAGTTTTCGGACATGGTTGCGTACGTTGGGCGTACCTAGTGGGTTGAAGGCACCAATGTCAGCCCACTATATTGTGTATCCTTGTATATAGGATGTCGTTATGCTATAGTATTCTGTAGATTTGTTTGTTTGTCTGCTAACTGGTTATATGATTATCTATTGTTAGACATATGTTATTTGTTATGTATATGTCGACATGGTATGGTGGGATTGAGAATGTACTGCTTTGTGATGTCATTCAAAAGATTGGGGCATTCCAATCGGAAGGTTGTGGGCCAGGGCATTCCAACCGAAAGGTTATGGGTCGGGGGTAATCTAACAAGGAGGTTGTGGGCCTGTTATGTATTAGGCATTCTAACCGTAAGGTTGTGGGCCGGGGGTAATCCAACCAAGAAGTTGTGGACACGTTATGTATTGGGCATTCCAACCGTAAGTTTGTGGGTCGGGGCATTCCAACCGAAATGTTGTGGGCAAGGGGTAATCCAACCAGGAGGTTGTGGACCCGATATTTGTTTGATTATATGTTTGTGTGGTGGTACTTTTGGGGAAACTCATTAAACTTTGTGTTTATAGTTTTACTTTATGGTTTCAGGTACTTCAGAGGATCATAGGAAAGCAAAGGTGTGATCATACACAACTTCCTATTTTATGGCTTTTTTCTTGGGTAAACTATGATTTTGAAATAATATTTTGGAAACAGTGATTGTTTTGTAAACAATGATGTTAAATCGTTGATGTTGAAAATTTTTAATTTCTTGATTTTTGGGATGTTACAAGTCGGTATCAAAGCCTTGGTTTGAGAGAATTGGATGAAAATTCGTGTGAATCTAGACTCAAACTAGGGAACTGCAAAAGTTTTAAACTGGTTTCCAAAACTGTTTTCAAAATAACCAAGGAAGGATGTGATGTGTACGATAAGCCGGAGCAAGAAAGTTTAACCCAAGTTATCAATTTATTATTTGTTATGATATGATAGAACTGCATTCTAGTGATAGGCTAGGGATCTACAGGAATTGCATGATAGACTTTCCTGATGTATGATGCATGATAGCCTAGGAGGACTCCTTATATGGTAGATGAAATTGACATCATTACTTTGGTCGCTTAGTGTGTGCATCATAGTTGTACATAACAAAGATTTTATTGCCTGAGAATGTTTGATTTAGCTTTATTTCATGTTCTTTTCTGATTAAGGGCTTAGGGTTGAGCCAAGTATTCGAATGTCTATGGGATCCAACGTTATCTATGATTAGCATGCACGAGTGGCTACAGGGTTGGAGGAAGTTTCATGAGTAGGTGCAGTTCATAATAGGATAGTGTGAGGAATGATTAGCCACTCTTGAGAGAGTCAGGACAGGATGGAAATGTATCCTAGATGCTTGGGCCTAGAGGTCAGGGATTTCATAAGAGTATCTTCCTGATTTTAGTGTGTCTTAGTGCTAGTCGACTCCACTGATCGAATG